GGCTTGCTTAAGCATATATAAGTGATTAAGTAGATGTTTATTTTGGCAGCTAATCTTACCAGTTTGCATCTAGAAAATATCATTTGCAAATGCTTATGTATGGCTTTCTTTAAATAGTTTTGATTGGGTTGCTGAAGGCCAGAACTGTATTTTTGTCTATATTGATAGAAATGTCATACTAATTCTACATGCTTTGTGCTGATTCTGTCTCATGTTTCACCACCCCAATAATACTTCCTTGCCATCCTTTGGGAGTTATTTTGCTCGCTGTGTCTTGCTGCTCTCACCAGCTAGCAGCTGTAATGCTTAAGCTTAGGAGGAGATTGGGCATAAATGGAGTCTTCTAGCCCAGAAATGTTTGCCCTCTCAACACACTCACTACCTAAATTCTGGGCAGAATAGTCTACAGGCTCAGCCACTGGGTTGATATGGTTTGAAGAAGTATCTACTTTTGCAAAAGCTGAAAATGCTGAGTTTCTTGTAGTTAGAGAGGTTGTCAAGTTAGGCAGCTGAAGTGTAGACTTCTACCACCATGACTGGTGGAATAATTCAGTGTTTCCTGATGGAAAAGCAGGGTAGAAAACCATTTAAAGTCTTACGACAGATGATTATGATGCCTTTTAATACCCATTGTCCTAGAGGTAGCATGCTTCAAGAAATCTCAGATGTTGATAAATCACTAGTTCCAGCTGTCTTTAACTGCAGCACACTCTTCATCTGAAGATAAGTTGATAACTCTGGCTCTGAGCCAGTTTTAAAATGTGTCCTACAGTTTGTCTTAGATGCCTTTATCTTGCCCATTTTCTAAAAGTTGTGAAACTGATAGTTGTACACATTAACAATTATAAGCTGAAGTTTTTATTTATCAATACATGTCCCCACGATTTTTGAGATGTGTTTGCTTTGAAAATTAAGCACAGCCCTTTCTTTGCTTGGAACACCTCAGTAAAGAAACTTAAACCTTGATGAAAGCTACAAATGCTATTTGTGGAGCAACTAATTTTATACCTTGCTGCTGAGGTCTCAACTGGCCTGTATACATGTCTCTTTCTCCTCCCTAGGAGTTTACATCCTTATTGGAGCTGGTGCACTTATGATGCTGGTTGGCTTCTTGGGATGCTGTGGTGCATTGCAGGAATCTCAATGTATGCTTGGCCTGGTAAGTGTTCAGAGTAGTGTTTAAATTTTAGCAGTGCAATGAGAAAGGAAGGAAAATACTACTGTGCAGTTAAAGGGGAGCAGATGTTGATTGTTTTGGCTCCACAATATTTAAACTCATGGTCACCTACATAATGCTTAAATGTTAAACATAGCTTTCATTTCTGGCCCTAAACCCAAATGTCCATGTTGTATTTGAACACTAACTTCAGGAGTTAGTGACATATTCAGACATTGAGGTATCAAGACTGGGAGTATGTGTGAACACAGAACTAAAGAAGTTGATAAGAGTAATGCTATTTATTAAACAGTTTGTCCTGAACTCTGAAGGCTATGTGATCTTTAATCTTGGAGACCAGAACTGTGGTATTTGATCCTTGAAACAACAAGCCTCTACTGTTCATAATCACAGGATGAGCTCTTCTAGTTGACAACTGTTCTGCAAGCCAATTATTGGAGAGCAACCTCATTGTTTTCAGACTGGAGGGACCAGTAGAGCTTACTGGGTTCATGCACATCTGTACACTTGTGGAACTACTCATCCAAATAACCAGAAGACTTAGTTAATAAAAGACTACTACTGTAGCTGGTGAAAGAACAATTCCCCTTCTGTGTCATGCAAGAAGTTAATTTCATGTATTTTTTTGCAAAATGATGCCTCTAGCCCTTTGTAATCCTGAACATCTCTCTTCAAAGTGCCTTTAAATGGTAGTGGTGTGTTTGACCTAGTAGTCAAACACAGAGATGACACTTTTTCTATTTTATGGGATACACAACAAAGAAGTGACCATTAGCTCTCTGGGAGTTGGTGGCAAGCTAGGTATTAAGTAATGACTCCTAAAGCAATAGGAGTGACAAACCAGTGAAAAGAATTGGTGTCAGCTGTTGTGATGTGTCTGAGTGACCTGGGCAACTTCAAAGTCTGAGTTAACAGATGATTGGTTTTAATTAACACTGATCAAAAAGGAGGACTTCTGCTTGGAAAACACTGCCAGGCTTTCCAACACTCCTGGGAAGATGTGCTGACTGAGTGTCCTCTTTCTCAGCCTTACTAGTGTTTCAGACCTCCAACTGGAACCTGGTTAAGTGATGGTTCCCACGGGGCTGGACAAGCTTGCAGTATACATGTGATGCTGTTTTGTGGTGCTGTGGTCTTAACGATGTGGTCTTTCTTTTCTAGTTCTTCCTCTTCCTTTTCGTGATTTTTGCCCTTGAAATTGCTGCTGCAATCTGGGGATTTGCCAATAAAGAAAAGGTAGGTTGCTCTTAAAAGTTGGCAGGGTCGTGGGATGCTGGAACAGGTTGCCCAGAAAGTTGTGGATGCCCCATCCTTGGAAGTGTTCAAAGTCAGGTTGGATGAGGCTTTGAGCAACCTGATGTAGTGAAAGATGTCCCTGCCCATGGCAGGGGGGTTGGAGCTAGAGGATCTTTAAAGGTCCCTTCTGACCCAAACCATTCTGTGATTCTATGGCTGTGCCCACAGAAAGTTGACAGTCTACTGAAATCTATACCAGTACTAGTCAAATCCTGATTACCCAGGGAGTTTGGGGGAGAGGAAGAAGATGCATTCTAGCAGAACAATACAAGAAATTAAACTCTAATATTTTTAAAAATGAGGCTGTAGCAGAGAAGCCAGAATCCAAGGTGCTGTTGCATGCTAGGGATGCCCTCCAGGCAGTACCTGGCTGAGCTGTGAAGCAAAGCAGGCCATCAGTGAAGCTTTAATATTTCTAGATATGAGCTGGGTCAGCTGTGGGCTGAATGTTTCTGCATCTAAAACATGACTGATCTGGGCTGTCCCCTCACAAGCAGTCAAGATTCTGTCTTGTTTCAAAATAAGGTGCTTGGTGATCAGAGTTGCTTTTCTGCTTGTATTATACAACAGGGGAATATAGCAACTTCTGGGGTACAGAAATGAATAGGGAATACTTTTGTGTAACCAGTGGGCAAAGACTTGGTTCTCTCACTCCTCCTAGAAGCTCAGAGCTTTGGAAGGGAAACTGAATCTTATCTGTTTAGGTGTGGCTTTTAAGGTGAGTGCACCAGTTAGGCTCACCTGTTTGGGGTGAGAAATGCTGTCCACCTTCTCTTTCCACCCTGTATTTCTACATGTCAAAAGGACTGGTATTGTAGGTTGCAGAATTTTTAATGACTTCAAGTTTTCCATACCTCAATATTAAGGTAAGACAGTAATACACCATAACTCTTTGCTGTCCTGTAGGTTATTGAAGAGCTAAAGGACTTCTACATGGAAACCTATGAAAAGAGATCTCAACCAGCTGCCAGAGAGACCCTGAAAGCATTTCAGTTAGCTGTAAGTACATGGTTACACTTAAACTAGACAGTAATGTGGCTTGTTCACACTGTTCTCCATGTCATCCAGTCCTCTATACAAGTCTAGTACCTTATTAACTAGAAGAAACCAAAGGATTATTAGTAACAAATTGCAGAGAAGATCTTTTTGTATAGTATCAGTCAATTCAGTATGCCTTTTTGTCCTTCTGAACCTCTGAAATGCATAGAACTAGTTCTTGTTTTCCTAAACAAACTCAGAAGCAAGCTGGGAAACTCTAGATCTGTGGTATTGATCTAGAGGCACCATAGTATACATATTTGCATGTCTACAAGGAGTTCATCTTTGTGTCTGTAAAGAGTACAAGCTGTCACCAAAATTAGTGTGTGTACTTGAGATCTAGCTCTTCCTTTCAGAAGCTTGTCCTTTAATGCAATAAAGGCTTTTTAAAATTAGGTTTATAGCAGTCACGTTGGCAGGACTTCTAAGTAGATTTGCATAAGGTCTGTAATAAAACCTAATGTAATCTTATTTCTCCTTTTACCAAACACAGAGCAAAAATAAAGATTACTTAACCTGGTTCTCTTTTCCTGTTTTCTCTTGTAGCTAGACTGCTGTGGTCTTACAGGAGTTCTTGAGCAGCAGTTCATGGACACCTGTCCGAAGAAGACTGTGCTTGAATCACTTTCTACAGTGGTAAAGCATGACTTAATTCACTAACAGCTCTGCCTTATGAGTAGAAAGAGAAACATGTTTCTGAATAAACCCTTCCAGTCCATGGGAAATTCCCATGTCGCACTTACTTAGCAACCTATCTCTATAATCAGTCTGGTTGTGGAAAAAACAATGTACTCTTACTGTGGAAAGAACAAGCAGGAAATCTGAACTTGCACGGGAAATGCATGGTCTGTGTCACTAGACTCACTGGTGTGATGGACAGCATAAAGCCAAAATGTCACCTAAAAAAAAAAAGGCTAGAGAGCTCTGTTCTCCTGGCTCCTCCTGTTGCCAGAGCACCTTCCTGGTGCTGAGTGGGACCTGTGGCCTCCCCTCTTGGTTAGGGAGAAGTAGAGCATGGGGTGGGAGCAGGTCTGAAGTTTTAGCAAGGAAAAGGAGAGGGGGGGGTAATGCATTGGTGGCCTGTTTAGGTGAGTATGTCACTGAAGCCAATTCTCTGAATCAGATTTCCCCACTGAAATATTGCTGCAAATGTGCCTGTACACCACAGATAAAGGAGAGGCATCCTGTATAGTTCTTAACTACCCCTTTTTCTTACAACTGTCTTGTACTCCTGCTTCATGCTCCAAGACAGCCTGTATGAGTCTTCCCATAGAAAATAAGGTTCTTATGATGCAGGAATTCAATTAATGACTTGATATTTTTCACATTACTTGTGCTCTTCCTTTCACTACAGATGATTTTGTGCCTTTAAATATCTGACCACATGAGACATTTCAATCTATATTTAGACTATATCTTTAGTCCTGTCCATACTATCTGCTATGAGCTAGACTATATGGGAGTAGCTGAGACACATGCAGGTTTTGTTTGCTTTTATTCTGCTAAGTGTATGTTAGCTTCATCTGAATTCATCTTGTGATGTGTTTATGGCCTAGTCCCAACTGCAGAAAAACAGTAGACAGACTGCAAAATTAAAGGGATGTAGTGGTGTGGGTGATCTGTGTACCTCTAAGAAGCAGTGCTGTATTGATATTCTGAATTAACTGATTAATTATTGCCAGTATATCACTTTAATCCTCAATTCAGTCTTTCCTTCTGGACTGGATAAGGAACAACTAAAGAAAAAAGTAGTTTTCAGCAGCTTACTGTAGTCTGCTGCTGGAATAAGTAGGACAGGAGTTGGGATGAGACTTTGACCAGCTATCAGGTTCTTAAAGATTTATACCTCTGTAAAAGTTCCTTGTTCTTTTTCTTGGCTACCATGTGTCTTTTCTGGGGAAAGGACTGTACTTAAATTTTTCTTTAGTTGCAATGGTAATTCATTGTCCTGGGAGCTTCAAACTGGCACCTCTGTGAAATCTACCCATAGCTTAGTATGTATGCATGCAGCTCAAGAAATCCTGCCATTCCCATGTGGCATGTGTTCATAAGGTGTCTGCAAAATTACAATAGCATTGGAAATATCGAGTGGCTTCAAATCTATTTTGAGAAGGGCTGAGCAATACAGCAACTTAAATGCTGACAGCCATTAGTAACAAGCCAAGTCTGGTACAACTGCTGTGGGTCCTGATCTACCTGATCAACTGCAGGTGTTGAGAAGGGAATTGTGCTGTAGCCAAGGTGCAGTTAAGAGGCTTGTATACTTGAAGAGTAGATTTTAAACTTCTCCACCAAGTTCCTGTCTCTCTTTAAAGATGTGAAAACAAAGGCCAGTTCAAAGCAGCTTTCAAAAGATGAGTCTTCATATCTAGTGCAAGCAGACTTGGTCAAAGGTGTAGCATCAGTTGGCAGACTTGAGCTCAAACAAGCAAGCAGAAACAAACCTTTCATATGTATGAAACACTAATGAACAGTCTGTTCTTTTCAGTCATGCCCTGGTGCCATTGATGATGTCTTCAAATCAAAATTGAATGTGATTGGAGCAGTTGGCCTTGGCATTGCTGTAATAATGGTGAGTTTCCAGATTATTTAGAGGGTAGCTGTATGGCCAAAGGATACTTACAGCAGAAGTCTGAATAGTGCTTGGCATGGCAGTCTACAAGGCCATTCCATTAATGACAAGTACTGGCAGGATCAGGGTGTGTGCTGTGGGGCCCCGAGGCAGTGCAGAGGGTGGGGTGTCTTGGACCTCCCTGCTTCTGCTTTGGGTTAGGATCTGCCTCCGTGTAGTTTTAGCAGTGGTGAAGTTGTATCAGTAGTGCGTGTATATATAGGGTGAAGATGTATTGGTCATGTTGCCAGCCCACTTCTTAATCCTAATGCCTCTTGGGGATCCTTGCTTTTGTTTCCTTTATGACAATTAAAGACTTTGCTAGAGAACTGAAATAACAGTGCTAGTACAGAAGCTTGTACTTTTGTTTGAATTCTCTGGAGGAAAGCATGACATGGATGTAAATATGCTGGAATGATCAAAGATTTCTTAGGAGATACAACAGTGGTTTATAGCTGATCTATTTTGAAGTATTGAGGGTGAAGGGGATTCATGAGAATGGACTGAAATTTGGGGGTGGAGGGGCAGGGACATGAACTGCAGAATAAAGTGTTAATATGGCCTCTGGGCCAGGAAGAGCAGCTATGCTTGTCCCCATGTTGATAGAAGAATGTGCTTTGGTCCCTCGACTTCTAATGCATTTGCTTTCTTTACAGATTTTCGGCATGATATTCAGTATGGTTCTCTGCTGTGCTATCCGCAAAAACAGAGAAATGGTCTAAGAGCTAAAAACCCAAGACTGCTGCACTATAAAATCTTTGTCATTAACTTCAGCGTTCTGAAAGCATTTCTAAAAAGTTATATATTTGTTACCTTTTTAATGCTTTATTTGGTACTGATGTAGGTTTGCTTTTTATGTTAATAGGTTAAAATGGTAAAGGTATATCTGACTCAAGACAAATATTGTACATAAAATATCTGACTTTCTTGAAACTTATGTAATTTGGATGTAATTTATGTTTGAGACAATTTGATACTTAATAAAGAGTAAGATGTATGTTTGTGGGGGAGAGGAGATTTTACTCTGCTTATTAATCATACTGTTTGATGCATAGCATGGAGTTGAACTTGCATAACATGTTAAGTGTTAAATCACTAGGGCTTTAGTATAAAGCAGGAAATAACTCCTGTGCCAATACTATATTTGAAAAGAATTCCAAGGAATGGAAAAGATGACTGTCAGAGCATGTTAGGGAAGGTATCGTCATTCCTCCTTTCCTTGGTGTGTGTGAACAAAAGCAGTTTGTTCACATATTCCTAAAATGTTACTGCTGTAACACTTTACTGTCATCTTCATACAGGGTGGCAAAGGATGGCTGTCATACTGGTGACATGCAGGCAGTGGTACTTTGGTGCAAACAGGCTGGGCTCTACCTGGAGCCAGATGGGCTTTCTCCTGTCAGCCTGTCTGCTGACACAACTCTGTCCCCTGGCATCTGACATGGCCTTGGTCCCTTGACAAGGCCGATTCCCGTAGTGTATGCTCAGGATCTTTCTCAGTGGCTGGCTTTGCTTTGTTTCTCCAAAGCCAATGAAGTACAATCTCAAGGGCTTACAGCATGTGTGCCAAATCTCAGGTTTCCAAGTGGAGAAAACAAAAGTTGCATAAGAAGTTACCATACAGCTCTGCAGTTGCTGCTTGCAGCAGCAGCTAGAGCTGTGGCTATCCTGTTTCAGTTTAAAAATGGATATGGGAGGGAGCAGAGATACTAGTGTGGAACCCTTAGCCTAAAGAATTACCAGTTTGTCCTGTACTTCTACTCTAAATGGCTTAAGTGGGGTTTTTTTTGCTAAAATATTTTCTGGGGGGGTGGCCTATGGACTTGGATCCTTACCAGCAAGTTAGTGTTACACCTGTATCTGGTGTTCCTCTACTGCAGTATCTCAGCTGTGTTCCTAGGAGCTTCTGGTTTTTGTCCTCTAGGTACTACAACTGTCTCTTAGTAGTCCTTGCTTCTTCCCACCTTTCTCTTATAAGGAGGTTGGTATTTATTGTGAGAAATATCAGAATTGTTGAGGGTCAGGCTCTGACTGTAGCAGCAGACTAATATACAAATGTATTGCCCACCTTTGTGTTACACATTGTCACTTGTGTAAGGGGTTATGCAAACCATACAGCTCTCCTCTGTAATGCATTGCACTATTCTGTGTTAATGGGGCCTTCTTAAAAAAACAAGTCGATTTTCAAAAAAGTCAAATGGTAATCATGCTTTTGTTTGTCTTAGACTGGAATGACTCCAGAAGGGAGTTGATCTAATTTTCCTCCTTGGATATATGAGAGGCTGGAGGGGAAAAATCTAATCTTATATGAGAATTTGAGACCTACCATGTCCCTGAGCTCCTGCAGAACTGAAGTGCATTTTTGTCAGCTGTGCAATTCTGGGCATGAGACTGAACCTGGCATCTGAAAGAGCTGGGGTGAATTGCTGTCAACCATAATGAAAGTTTACTACTGACTTCAACTGCCCTTGGTTTTATTGCTCCATGTTGGTGCATGTGTTCAGGTTGCCAACATCCAACATGGCTGTAGTCCAACACTAGCAGTGTTTGTCAATGTCCAAGAAAATACAATGGGTTGTAACTAGCATGATGAGAACTAAACTGTAGGCTCAGCACCTCAGCTCATGAGATGGGTTTGGGTGATGGCTGTGGAGGAAGCTCTCAAACTGGCATACAGATCAACTGAATATCCAGAAAAATGAAGTTTATACCTTCTGCTGTTGCTGTTTCTACAGAAGCTGGACGGGGGCTTCCTGTGAGTTAGTCTTTACCTTGCAATGCTGCTGCCTTAACCACAGTGTTTACTGCAACACTTCATGCCTTGGTGATGCCTGCCCCCTTCCCCCCATATTTTAAGTCCTACAGCCCAATCTTTGGCCCTTTTTGAACATCCTATGTATGTAGGTTGGTGTTTTCTGAGTAATCAACAGGTGGGTAAGTTGTCTTTTATCGGAGAAGAAAGAGCTACTGTTTATTACTTGAATATTACTTTCCTTCTAGCAGGAACATGAACTACAGCTGCAAAACCTGGTTGCAGTCATCCTAAGATCTGCAAGGTAGCCTGGAATGAATACTTCCCAGTAATGAATACTGAGCTGAATAATGAGAAGTTTTACTTTACAAGTAGCAGTTGTGACTGAATTTCGTGAAGACTTCAGTTCTAAGAGATGGCAGCCCTAAAAAATCTGTTTGTAGCACTGACTGCCCAAGCAGGGAGCGAGTTCCCAGCTTCAAGTTAGGTCAGGATTGTCTCAAGGAAGCTGGAGCAGAATGGGACTTGAAGTAATACATAGAGGCTCAGGTG